TGTTTGCCTTTCTCTTTCTTTTATGATCGGCTTTGAGTGAATGCTAAGAGAATGCTGTGTCGCCGGCTGTCATTCTGCACGGTCCCTAGCAGAGCAATATGCTCCTAAATTCTAGACAGGCGAATCCGTGGGCCTAGACCGAGGCGGACTCCACTTGAAACTGCCCCTGCATTCAGCCCTGAGCTTTAAATGGGAGCTCACCCCAAAGCCCAGCTAGCCGCTCTGAAAGCCCTACCTGCAGGAGACAGGAGCCCCCCACTCTGCATCCGAGCATCCATCTCATCTCTTTCACAAGCAGGCCCATTTCATTCCAGCCTCTTAATCACAACAGGCCATTGTATACGTAGACATTTCAGGCTAATTACCTCTTAACTCATAATTTGAAGGAGACTATTAATCTAGCAATTAATGATAAAGCTGGGTTTCAAAACGCATTATGGTAAAAATGCTAAAGGTTGTCCGTGTCGAAGAATCTACTGCGTACTCTTTATTGCTGTGGAATTTTTCTTAATTAACGATGAATGACATCAGGTGGAGTACTGTGAGGCCATTAGAAAGAATGGCAATGAGCCCTGGCCGGTTGGGCTCAGTGGTTAGAGCATTGGCCTGTGGACCAGAGAGTCCCGGGTTCGGTTCCTGCTAAGGCCACATACCTCGGTTGCAGTGTGTCCCTGGCCCCAGTTGGGGTCCTGTGGGTGGCGGCCACTGGGTGTCTCGCTCTCTCTTCCCCTCTCTCTCCCTCCTGCTCTGTCTGAAGATAAATGACTGGCAATGCCATCTGCTCTCATAATGAGAATTATTTTATATTGTAAAAGTAGGGGGTAGAAGAAACAAATATTGAATGTCTGTTGTGATCACAGCTGTATTAAGCTGAATAGAGATTATCTTAAGGGCGTACATAAACATCTTAAATGGCTTTCATGAAGGAGATGAGAATACAGAGATTTTTACAATATATTTTAAGAAAGGTGTGTATATTAATTTTGTTTTCAAAGATTTTTAAAAATACAATTTTTTACAAATGTAAAAATACTTTACTGACATGGAAAAATAATAAACTAATATTGAGGCACTCTGTGTTCATCATCATCATCTCCCTTTGTATCGCTAACGCCTTTCATTCTCCCAACGTAAATACAGGGTGGGGCAACAAAATGAGGTTTACAGTTGTGAGTATACAAAACACAGAGTTGATTCTTGTATCATTTATTAGTTATTGTATTATTTTCCATATGAACAGCTGTAAACCTACTTTTTCCCCACCTTGTTTAAAGGGAAGTTTTTCTTACCTTTGAAGTTCATTACATGGTTTTTGATATTCAAGTTATTTAGGGGTTGTAGTAAAACTTCTCTAAGAAAAAGACGAGGTGTTCACAACTAAAGCAATAGCTCACTGTGAGTGCTCCCTGAGAGGACCCAGACACCAAAGGAAATGTTTTGAGTTCAGGAAATCGAAGTAGTACCTAACTTGCAAGTCAACGTGTGGATAAGTGTTCGAAACATTCATAAGCAGTAAGATCTGCTGGTGTGGGCTGATTTTCTCAGACATGCCGTTAACATCTTGCAGTGTAGAGGACAAACCACCATACAAATGTAGCCCCTTTGGGAATGCGGAGGGAAATCTCATTTTCAAATTGCCCCGTATGCGTCCTTTTTATTTAAAAAAATGAAATTTGTATGTCATTTACAAGTCACCTTTCACATTTATGTTATCAACAGGTCAGTGTTATCATAAGGATCCTGTATTTTATGCCTGACCAAAGGGGATTTTAGTGACTATGCCCTAAGAATATCTTGTCATTTTCTTCTACTGAACCTCTCTGCCCCCATCTCCTCTTTTGTCTTTAATAACCAGTCCCTAACTCAACATTTTTTTTTTCAATCAGACCCATATCCTCTTAACTGATTAGATTGAAATATTTATTTCCTTAAAATTTTATAGAATATATATATTCATATATATATATATATATATATATATATATATATATATACACTTTACCTTTGTCTGCTCTTAAACCAGTATTGTAAACCAGTATTGTTGATAATGGTTAGAATGGTTGGCAATAGATAACATCCCGAGAACTTTGTTTAATCATGGCGTTTAATCATAGCAGTCATCTACAACAGAGTTGCTAATGTTCGCTCTTATTTTACAGGTGAGAAGGTTAAGATTTCAAGAGTTGCATTTCTTTTTATGTGTACAGAGCAAGTTATTTGGGAATCAGAGACTGAGCCCAGATATGCAGAGAGAGAGAGAGCGAGAAACTAGCCCATGCTCATGCTTTATAATTATCTTACACTGAATATATACATATGTATCTTTCTCCCTCAACTAGGTGTAAACTTTCAGACCCTTCTGTATTTTAGGAACCGTGGTTCCACACCACCTCTTGTAACTTGGAATGTGTTGTTGCAAGTAGAGACTTTGAGTCACATCCCCTACACAATTATATTTGGATTCTCGGAATCTGGATCGAAGCCTAGTAAACTGTATTTTAGAAAAATACTATAAATATGTCCACGGATTTACCAACATCCTTTGGCAGGTCATTAAATGTAACAGCAGCTCTGTTGAGTTAAGGTTACTCAGTGAGCCCGCCTGGCATGGCTCAGTGGGTTGAGCGTCATCCCTTGAACTGAGAGGTCCCGCTTTGATTCCTGGTCAGGGCACATGCCAGGGTTGTGGGTTCGATCCCTAGTAGGGGGCATTTGGGAGGCAGCCAATTGATGTTTCTCTCTCACTCACATCAATGTTGCTATCTCTCCCTTCCTCTCTCTCTAAAAAAAAAAAAAATCAATGAAAACATATTAAAAAAAAAGATTACTCAGTGATTTATTCTTGTAATGAAGGTAATTAAGGTAATTATATTTAGAACTACCCTGCTTAAAACTTTTTAGAACTATACTGTGTAGAATAAAATAATGTAGAATGGAGGAAAATTAAATGTTTCACACAATGGAACTTTCCGTAATTATACTTAAGTTATCAATAAGGAATTGTAGTGCAAAAGGAGCCTTAAAATATTGCTATCCTTTTCCATTCTAACCAAACGATATTGCTCAACTTTTCCCTATGTCTCCGAGTATACATGGTTCCAAAGCACAACTTCATCATTAGCATAATCCTTCTTGAAGCAAATTAAATATATCAAATCCCATTTTTCCTGGTTGTCACCGAGTTAAACAAGCCGGGAACAAATTACCAATAAAACAATAGCAGTAAAACACAGCACTAGGAATGGAAAAGCAGGCCACAATGAGGAGGAGATAGGTACAGTGCATCTCCCAACTAACCAAGAACTCACGTAAGAACTGTTACAATAGAAAAACCAGGAAAACTCTTGACTGGGCACGTCACCAAAGAGGATACTCACCTGACCAATAATGAGCATAACAATATTAATCATTGGGGAACTATACAATTAAACCACAATGAAAAAAAGGAAAAAAAATAATGAGATATCTCTGCATGTCTACTAACCGCTAAAATTATGATAACATCAAATTCTGTCGCAGATGCGGGACAATTGGAACTTGATGTGTTGCTGCTATGTAAGAAAAAGAATACAGTCCTTTTAGAGAACAGTTGGCAGTGTCTGCTAGAGTAATACATGCTCGTCTGGTCACTTAGCAACGCCAATATACAGTAATATTCAAGAGAAAGCCATGCACACGCCAGGCTTATTTTATGAGCCTAAATGTCATGAAGAGGAGTCGCTAGATTGTGGGACAGCTATAAAGTTTCACAGAGAGATAATGAATGGATTCCTTTGAGCAATCGCGACAGTGTGAAGTTGTGCCGCAGTGTTATACTCTGCATTTCTGCCAGGTGTCCCTCGATCCGTAACACACCCAGAAGAGTTGTTCACAGACAGCAGGGTGTTCGTAAAATAGACTTCCAAATAGTTCTTACTATAAAAGGTGAGAGAACAATAAAGAGAAAAATTTGTATCATTCAACTCAAGGAACATAGGTAAAAGGAATCTCTTTATTATTTTTGCTTGAAAACTCTAATTTTTCTCTGCAGTCTGACTTGTTTTCAGTTTCCTCCACAGAGCCTGTGTCATTTTCCATGTGAAATCAGTACCTTTTAAACCATCAGTGCGGCCATTGTCATGACATAATCTTTGTCTTCTTTAACTGCATTTCACAACTTATCTTCATGCGGTTTTTATAGGCGTATTTTAACAGTAAAAAGTGTGTTTCTTTATCCACCTAATACTTCTTTCTCAAGTTAGTTGCATGAGAAAGCCTTCTAAGAGTGTTCGGTAACCGTTCACAACAGAAATGGAACGAGGCTTGGTGACCAGTTTCTTCCCACTGATGAAACACCAACTTCCTTCTGTCCTCTCCGTCTTCTTCCTTTCTTTCCTCCTCCCTTCCATTCATCCATCCGTGCACGCATGTTTATATTTACTTAACGCATATTGGATGTGTAATATATGCCTGTACTATGCTGGGAGCTGTGATTACAAAATTCCAACACGAAAATAAAATGAGCCGTTACCTGAAGAGATAAGTAGATTATTAGAATTTATGTAGTTTTAGGTTCTGAATTAAAATTACAATGTTATTCTATCTATCAATCTATCATCTATCTATCCAGCTATCCATCTATCTATCTATCTATCTATCTATCTATCTATCTGCCTATCTATCTATCTATCTATCTATCTATCTATCTATCTATCTATCTATCTATCATCTATCTATCTATCTATCTATCTATCTATCTATCATCTATCTATCATCTATCTATCTATCATCTATCTATCTATCATCTATCTATCATCTATCATCTATCTATCATCTATCTATCTATCATCTATCTATCTATCTATCTATCATCTATCATCTATCTATCATCTGTCATCTATCGATCGATCGATCGATCGATCGATCTATCTATCTATCATCTATCTCTCTATCTATGTGAAACGCTAGTACGTGTTCTCCCTGATGGGCAGCATATCTCTCCTGTGTCTGTTTACTTCCAGGAGATAGTCAACTTCAACTGCCGGAAGCTGGTGGCCACGATGCCGCTGTTCGCCAACGCCGACCCGAACTTCGTGACCGCCATGCTGAGCAAGCTGAGATTCGAGGTGTTCCAGCCTGGAGATTACATCATTCGAGAAGGAGCCGTGGGTAAAAAGATGTACTTCATTCAACACGGCGTTGCCGGCGTGATCACCAAGTCCAGTAAGGAAATGAAGCTGACCGACGGCTCTTACTTCGGAGGTAGGTGCCGGGAAAGGGGCCGAGAGGACGGGGTTCGCTCCGGTGTTGTCTCCGTTCGAAGTTCGGGATGTCGCAATGTGGACCTGTTGGCTTTGACTATAAATGTGTATGTGAAATCCGATACAAAGCGTCTACAATGGTATGTTTTCAGGTATCAGGCCTTGTCAAGCTCAATGTTTACATGTTCCTCGACACCGAAAAAACACTAGTGTTTTCTTTAGAAAAAGGCAAGGAGTCCGCCTTCAAATATCTGCAGGTTTATCCTGAAGGAGAGAATTCGAGTGACTCTCCTTTTCTTCTCATCAGTGAGGTACTCGGGATGTGCTCCTTAGGAGGTGGTCCTTGTCACTTTGGAGTCACGCTCCATAGACGCTAATGTTCCGTCTCCCCGGAGGCCCCCCCATCGGAATCCCTGTACCCCAGCTCTGTGTCTCCATAGCACTTCTCATTGCAGAGTCCTGGTCTCGGTCTCCCTGATGCTGAAAGTGACCGCTAGTGACCGCTAGTTCCCCGGCTTCCTGCAGGCCCCCGATGGCAGATGGGTGTGGCATCGGAGAAGCTCTGAGCAGTCAAAGATGCCCAGGCCCTGGCCTCAGAGGTTCTGACTCAGGAAGTCCAGCCCAGAGACACAGTCTTATTTGTTTGTTTATTAGAGAATAATCAACCAGTATATCTCACGTCACAGGGGTGGGGGGACTGGATGAAAGAAGGTGAAGAGATTAGCCAAAGAACATATATGCATAAACCATGGACACAGACAACACTGAGGTGAAGCCAGAGAGAAGGGTCAGGGGCTGGGTGGAGGTGGGCGAAGGGGGGGAAATGAGGGACATCTGTAATAGGGTTGACAATAAAAAAAATTAGTAGTGATAAAGAGAATGTATTCAAATCAAATTCATAGGAGTTGGGACCCAACCAATGAATTGCATTTTGTGATATAATAATTCTAATAATAATAATAATAACCTGAGTTTAAGAATTTTTCTTCAGTAATAACTAAGAAATATTTATTAGAAAATGTTTATTGTTGTATTAAATGATCTTGTGGAATTTATCAAAATAACCATTAGGTTCTTATTCATCAATCTTTTGCTGAGTAAAACATACAACTCAAAAAATTAGCTTCTTTGAATTTCCACTCACCCATTAAGGACAGTTTTGAAGGTGCCATCCTGTCTTTCCACTCTTCCTTCTTGTCTTGACTCTCTGTTGCCCCGTCAGTCCCTGAGCCTTTTGTAAAGATTGTACTAAGAACCCGGCTGGTGCGGCTCAGTGGTTGAGCATCAACCCATGCACCAAGAGGTCCCCTGTTTGATTCCTAGTCAGGGCACATGCCCAGGTTGTGGGCCTGATCCCCAGTGTGGGGCATGCAGGAGGTGGCCAGTTGATGTTCTCTCTCATCGATGTTTCTCTCTCTCTCTCTAAATCAATAAAAAAAATTTTTTTTTAATATTGTGCTAAGAAAAAGGAGAAGCTAAGAATCTAAAGAGGTCTCCTTGAGAAAGCACAGACAAGTCATGTTTGAATAAAGAAGAGAGAGAGCAATGGAAAGCTGTGGAGTAAGGAAAAAAAGTATAATATATGAGCCTTGTTTGTAGAAGTGATTTGGAGGTAAAACATTTTGGGGAGCAATTAAAGGGAGTGTGATAAATATGTAAAAGAAAAGTTTAGAGACAAATTTCTGGAAGTTTTCTTACACACGAAGAATGTATTTCTACATTTGACAGGTGTTGTGCATTCAAAGGAGCTTTTAATTACTGTGCAGTTATGTTTGCTAATATGATTGCATTTTCATGCAAAGCTGGGACATCTGTCTCCCTCTATTTGTGGGGGTTAAATTGTTGGTAAAGTCAATTATATTAGTGAATGTCCTTGTGGTTTTAAGATCATTTTGGGGAGAAAGACTACTTTGTTCTGGGGTCTTCCCTGGAAGAAGGAAACGGGGAGCAGCTGGGGCCCAGCGACCCGAGTCCACTAGAGCACCCTGCACCATCCATCCAGTGGACGCAGCTGTGTTGGCATGGTCAGCACACAGTGGGTGCCTGCAGCAGTAGCTGAAACCAGGCAGGAGCCAGAGCCCCGCCCCCAACAGCAGTGGAGGCTTGCCCAGGCCTGCAGCGGCTCTGCAGCCCGGAGGCTCCAGGCTCCAGGCCTGGGGCGGAGTGCAGCTAGCCCAGTCCCCAGGCCCCAGGCCCCAGGCCCCAGCCCCAGGCTCCAGGCCTGTGACAGCGCAGGCCCAAGGCAATAGCACAGGCTCAGGAGGGCAATGGCACCAGCTTGGGAGCCTGGCAGCTCCCCGCAACAGCAACAGTGACTAGGCTGGAGTAGAGCCCCACCTCCAACAGGCATTAGCAGCTCAGTCTGGCAGCTGAACCATCCCCAGTGGCATCAGCAAAGACTGATCAAGATCGGTGCCCCAGACCAAGCAGCAGGGCTAGGGCAGCTGAGACCTGCCCCTGACAATTGTAGCAGTGGAGCTGGAGTGGAGCCCCTCCCCGCAGCAGCAGCAAAATCCCAGGTGCAGAGCATCCTCAGCCCCCAATAGCAGTAAAGGACTGGGACCTGAGAGCACCCCCTGGCAGCAACAGCATCTGCAGCAGCAGCAACAGTGCGGACCAGAAGCTGATACTTGCCCCCAGCAGCGACTGATCAGGAGCTGAGCCCGATCAGGCAGCAGGGTCCCCCAGCAGTACACCAGCAAGACCCATGCACCCCAGCAGCATACCAAAGGGACCCACGAAACCCAGAAGTGCACCAGTGGAACCCATGAACCCCAGCAGAGTACCAACAAAACCCATGAACCCCAGCAGGACACCAGCTGGACCCACACACGTCAGCAGCATACCAGAGAGACCCACAAATCCCAACAGTGTGCCAGTAGAACCCACACACCCTAACAGTGTACTAGTGGAATCCCACATACCCCAGCAACATACCAGTGGATCCCCCACACCCTAGAAGGGCACCAGACGGACCTGCGCACCCCCTGGCAGCAGCAGCACATATTGGCAGCTAAGACCCATCCCCGGCAGCATCAGCAGAATCTGATCAAGAGCGGTGCCCCAGCCCAAGCAGCAGCCAGTCTCGGGGAGTCAAGACCTGCACGGCAGACAATTCCAGCTGCCAGGTGCCAACCCTGCAGAACTCACAGCAGACAAGAGAAGCCATATCCCAAAACAGGCTGGGAGGCACAGCAGCCGTAATTGATACACACTGACCTGCCTACACATTCCAACATCCTTCACCAGGCTTAGAACTACCATGCTAAAATGGTGAGACAAAGAAACAGCACCCAAATGAAAAAAAAAAAAAAAAGAGGAATCACCAGAAATGGAACTACAGGAACTAGAAGAAAGTAACTTGTCAGACAAAGAATTCAAAGCAATGATTGTAAGGGTGCTCAAACAATTTGGTGAGAACTACAAGCAACTTAGTAAGAATTATAAAAAGCTCACTGGGAACTACTTCAGCTTAAAAAAAAAAAAGAGGTAGAAACAACGCATAAAGAGGTAGAAGTTATACATAAAAATCAAGAGAAAATAAAGAATGACATAGCTGATATGAAAAATACCTTAGAATGGTTCAATAGTAGATTAGAAGAAGTTGAAGACTGAATCAGTGACTTAAATGACAAGGTAGAGAAAAACAACCAAAAAGAGCAGCAAATGGAAAAAAAGTTTAAACAGCAAGAGGAGAGTTTAAGGGATCTGTGGGATAATACAAAATGTAACAACATTCACATTATAGGGGTATCGGAAGGAGAAGAATCAGAGAAAGGAATAGAGAACCTGTTTAAAGAAATAATGGCAGAAAACTTTCCTAAACTGGTGAAGGAAAAAGTCACACAAGTCCAGGAAACACAGAGAGTCTCAAGCAAGATGAACCCCAGAAGACCCACAGCTAGTCACATCATAATAAAAATGGCAAACATTAAAGACAAAGAAAGAATCTTAAAGGAAGCAAGAGAGTCCGAAAGTTACCTACAAAGGAGCTCCCATTAGACTGTTAGCTGATTTCTCAATAGAATCGCTGCAGGGGAGAAGGGAGTGGCATCAAGTGTACAAAGTAATGCAAGGCAAGGGTCTGAATCCAAGACTACTCCATCCAGCAAGGCGATCATTCAAAATTGAAGGAGAAATAAAGAGCACTGATTAAAAAAAAAAAAAAAAAAGCTAAAGGAATTTACCACCACCAAACCATCACTGCAAGAAATGCTGAAGGAACTATTGTAATAATAATAAAAAGAAGAAGAAGGAGGAGGAGGAGGAGGAAAAGAAGAAGAAGGAGAAAAAGAAGAAGAAACAGACACAGAGAAAGAGGAACACAGGCATCAAATAAAAATGGCAACTAATAACTATCTATCAATAATAACCTTAAATGTAAGTGGCTTTAATGCTCCAATCAAAAGACATAGGGTAGCTGATTGGATAAGAAAGCATGACCCATATATATGCTGTCTACAAGAAACTCACCTCACAACAAAAGACTCACACAGGATGAAAGTGAAGGGATAAAAAAAATTTACCAAGCAAATGGAAATGAAAAAAAAAAGCTGATGTAGCAATACTCATCTTACAAGATAGACTTCAAAACGAGGGCCTTAATAAGAGACAAAGAAGGTCACTACATAATATTAAAAAGATCAATCTGACAAGAGGTAAACATATACCCACCAAACCTTTGTAAACATATGCACACCAAATATGGGAGCTCCAAAATACCGATTTGGTCGAAATCCGAGGCGTTCGAGAACCGAGGTATCACTGTACATTAAAAAACTTCTGGAGGAATTTGAGGGAGAGATCAATAGCAATACTATCTTAGTGGGTGATTTTAACACTCCACTTACACCATTGGATTGATCTTCCAGACAAAAACTTAACAAGGATATAGAGTCCTTAAATGACAACCTACATCAGTCGGATTTAATTAATAGTTATAGAACATTTCACCCCAAAGCTGCAGAATATACATTCTTCTCAAATGCACATGGGACATTC